ATGCCGGTCATCATATACATGTAATTAACTAAGGATACTGAAAAATTTATTTATATATGACATACTTTAAATGACTTTCGTAAAATTAAAATTTTTAAATGAAAACTAAACATAGACTATAGTCTAAATATTTATTTTATGTTATTAGAATCTCAATAAATAATGTCCAAATTTAGTAATATAACATGTATAAAAACTGCGGGACTAGATGACGTGCACTATATAATTTTACATGTAATGGACGTTATTTAAAATCTCATGTTCAGAAATCGACTTTTATTTTGAAATAACGCAGTGTGCATTATTTCGCGGGCTTACGGTATGTTTGATATTATAAATTCAAATTTTATCATCAATACATGTACATTTGAAGATTGAACCAATCATAAATTTAATCTCCGGTAATATTTTGGTCTTTACGGCAGGATCAATCGAATTGAATATGTTCAACATTGGCTGAAACAATACATAATTCTTTACGTTAACGTTAAGAAAACTTAAAGCTATTTATATGGTTAAACTACAGTTTTTATCATCATTACATGTACATTGGAATATTGAAACAATCATAAATTTAATCTCCGGTATTATTTTGGGATCAATCGAATTGAATATGCATGCATAATTTTACGTGGGTTCCCAAAAAATTTTTGGCAAATTTTCAGTTAAAATTGGCTGAAAAAATACGTAACTCTTTACGTTAACATCAAGAAAACTTAAAGCTATTTATATGGTTAAACTACAGTTTTTATCATCATTACAGAAGATTGAACCAATCATAATTCAATCTCCGGTATTATCTTGGGATCAGTCGAATTGAATATGCATGCATAATTTTACGCGGGTTCCCAAAAAATTTTCGGCAGATTTTCTGTTCAAAATCGGCTGAAACAATACGTAATTCTTTACGTTTAACGTTAAGAAAACTTAAAGCTATTTATACGGTTAAACTACAGTTTTTATCATCATTATATGTACATTAAAAGATTGAATATGCATGCATAATTTTACGTGGGTTCCCAAAAAATTTTCGGCAGATTTTCTGTTCAACATCGGCTGAAACAATATGTAATCTTTACGCTAACGTTAAGAAAACTTAAAGCTATTTATATGGTTAAACTACAGTTTTTATCATCATTACATATACATTAGAAGATTGAACCAATCATAAATTCAATCTCCGGTATTATCTTGGGATCAGTCGAATTGAATATGCATGCGCAGATTTTCTGTTCAACATTGGCTGAAATAATACGTAATTCTTTACGTTTAACGTTAAGAAAACTTAAAGCTATTTATACGGTTAAACTACAGTTTTTGTCATCAATATATGTACATTAAAAGATTGAACCAATCATAAATTTAATCTCCGGTATTTATTATTTTGGTCTATCATAATCAATCGAATAAAAAATATGCATGCATAATGTTATGCGGGTTCCCAAAAAATTTTCGGCAGATTTTCTGTTCAACATTGGCTGAAACAATATGTAATTCTTTACGTTAACGTTAAGAAAATTTAAAGCTATTTATATTATATGGTTAAACTATAGTTTTTATCATCATAACATTTACATTAGAAGATAGAACCAATCATAAATTTAATCTCCGGTATTATTTTGGGATCAATCGAATTGAATATGCATGCATAATTTTACGTGGGTTCCCAAAAAATTTTTGGCAAATTTTCAGTTAAAATTGGCTGAAAAAATACGTAACTCTTTACGTTAACATCAAGAAAACTTAAAGCTATTTATATGGTTAAACTACAGTTTTTATCATCATTACAGAAGATTGAACCAATCATAATTCAATCTCCGGTATTATTTTAGGATCAATCGAATTGAATATGCATTCATGATTTTACGCGGGTTCCCAAAAATTTTCGGCAGATTTTCTGTTCAACATTGGCTGAAACAATATGTAATTCTTTACGTTAACGTTAAGAAAACTTAAACTATTTATATGATTAAACTACAGTTTTGAATGCTTTTTTATGAAAGCTTCTGAATGATATTTTAAAAGATTTTTAACAGGTTGCGTCATCTTTAACGATGATCCCATGAAATATATTAGGAATACCGGTTCGACATTTTTATAGAAACTGTTTCGGTTATATAGTAGAGTGAGTCCCCTCTTTATTCACCCATTATAGTCATAATTATTTATCACCCAAATAGACTGATTCAATAGGCAAAAACATTCTATAAACAGGATTAGAAAAACATATCTATGTATATATAAAAAGCAATAATAATAAAAATATAACAAAGTATTAATACTTTATCATAACATATTACTACGATAAATTTTTATATGAAATTTTTGAGTGTTGCAATATTGAATCAATATGCACCCATTACCGTTATATGCACATGTAATTATTTAAACAGCCTATATTAATTTGCGATAAATGGTGCTTGAGATGCATAAGAGGGCCAGTGTTTCTAGATTATGTATTATATGTACTGTATTCTAATCTTGATTTTCGAATAAAGAAAAAAATTTAATAGAAATTTCTACTTTTAAGCTTTATAATTTATTGAAAATGTCATTTTTATGAATTCATAGCACATTCATAGCTGTGTGAAATAATTATATATGTACTTATTTGCGTCTAACTAAAAAATTATACAGACAAATCTGGAATCGTAATCCTCAGCATACAGTAGGTCTCTTGCATTCTAGACCCAAAGCCAAATTAGGAAAAAAATCCATTAATAAAAAAAAGGTGGTGAACATCAAAGGAGTACATGTACGTGTATACGGCTGAAATGAGAACACCAATTAAATTTTTTCTATTGAGGCAAGGTAAGCATATAATATGTGTAACTGATTCATATTTATCAAAATTATACTCCGATACTCCGAAAAAATTTATTTTTTAATACATGTAACTGTATATTTCTCCGTAAAGTTCGATGTACTGTACATGTACAAAAATATTCCATACGCATTGTTTTTTTAATGCATTATCGTTTATCTATATCCCTTGTGGTATTAACGTTAATGATAATGTTATTACGGAAATTACCGGAAGAACATGGAAGTAAAATTGGTATTGACGGGAAGTCTGTGGAATTCCAGTCATCATAAAAATATAATTACGATTACCTTTGCTTTCATTATATCATATTATAAATTTATCCAGCTACTTTCCAATTTGACTCTCATTGGACTGTTTCAGTGGCAACACTGGTTTTGCCGCTAATGAGTGGTTTGATAAATAAAAATTCATATCGATATTTAACAAGCTTCGTTAATCAACATCTTTCGAGAGCATAAGTGTTCTGTTTAATTGAACCGATGTTGTTTATTAATATACGTATTTAGAAATTGACGCTTTATTCACTGATGTGTAAAAAAATTTAAAAAATGACGTAGAGATAAATCTCCTAACACCGGAAAATTAGATTACTGTAGATAAAATAATATAACTTCAGCCCTCATTCTTATCAACGCTATATTTGGTGTCTGATAACTACGAGGCTTAAAATATGCAATACATCATTAAAAACCGTGCAGTCAAAGTATTAAGTTCAACAGAATGCAAACTAAATTAAAATCTAAATCTAATAAGGTACAGTATCTTCCGAGCTCATAGACTAGTTTTATATGTATATTTGATAGAAATTTTCTAAAGAGTATTCTAATAAACTCCGTTGATAACACATGATCTTCATTGTTAAAATACCTTTCTAGGAGATGTACTCCATTGCTAAATACTTTTCTAGAATATATAATTTATCGATAAAATATCTTAAAATTATGATTTAAATTGTATAAATTGCCGCTGATTTACCGTTATCTCTTTCAGATTTCGTAAAAGGCTATTGAATGCGGAGTATTCGGAGTCTATACGAGTCAAAGCTATATCTTTTATATATTAAAGTCTTAATTATAATTTATTGTTTTCTCATAATATAAATAGTATTTATATTATAATATACATAAAATCCAATTCAATAGCGATTAAAATTTAATGTAAAAATAACTATCAAACGTTAGTTTTAATTATTTTCTATTCGATTTTACCTGAGTATATAAATAACCAAATTATACAGACATTAGCTTTGAAGGTCAAATCATATTATTCGATTGGATGAGCAATTTAAAATATCCTTATTGAAAATTTAGTTTATTTCATATGAATAGTAACATACTTATTAAAATATCTTGGCAGAAATAATGATGAATAAAGTTATTGCTCTTATTGACTTATTTTTTAGTATTACAGAATTACGTGTATGGAAATTTCTATATCTAATATTGATTTTCTGTTGCATTTGGACAATAAGATTACAAGTAATTGTAAAATGCAATCTAAGATATAAAGGATATATTTATACATAATATTATAAAAACGAATATAAATAACCATAATTAAATAAATCCCAAGTAAATGATTCTAATAATGAGATTTAAAAATAGTAAATAAACCGACTATAAGAAGATATATAATTGCTTACTATCTTAGGGATTTAACGGTTAAAACTGATGAGTATTCATATAAAATTATTGCAATTAACTAAATATGCCAGTGGTTCCAGCTATAAATTCTTGTATCATATTTGCATTTTCAGCTGGAGTCTGTTGCTGATAGATATTAATTGTTCCATTAATTAAATTTATTTGTTCAGCTGAAAATTGTTGTCGAAGTAACTGTTGTTGATTTTGTGAAGGTTGCATCCTGTTTACATGTCCAGCTGGAGCTGACTGCTGAGGTATTTGCCGAAGTGGTTGCTGATTGAAGATATTAGTTGTTCCATTAACAAAATTTATATGACTAGCTGAAAGTTGTTGAAACAATTGCTGCTGGCTTGGTGGATGTTGCATCATGTTTCCATGTCCATCTGTAGTGAATTGCTGAGATGATTGTTGATTAAAGATATTAGTTGTTCCACTAATAAAATTTATGTGACTAATTTGTCTTGATGGAGATTGCATCTTGACTCGAAGTGATTTAACGAATTTTACTTAAAACTAGCAGGTAGAATCATTTCTTTGAGGGAGTGTAGCCTCTATTTATAGCTGTTTATTAACAAAAATTTTTTATTAGCAATATTAGTTGCAGTTATCCGTACTATGAGATAGACGTAATATAGGTAATTTGATTCTCTTGAAAAAATCTCTTAATATAAATTTATTTATTATATAATATAAAATATAGCTAGTATCATATTATATTACTGTTGTTCTCTCCTTTTTATTCTTCAGTATATTTTATAATTAAACCATAATATATATATATATATCGTCTACTGTGGAATCCGAGATGAAGCAAGATATTTTCTTGGAGTAACTTGGGGATACAATGACATTAAATACTTTTGTGACTATACTGAACAATGTATGATCATGGTGGTTGGTGAAAGAAAATAACAATCAAACAGTGGAAATATGTTATATAATATATTGAGTTGCATTTCAAGCATTATCATTATTTCGGCAGCTTTATTTATGTATTAAAAGGTGAATTGCATAGATAGAGTATAATAATATAAGGAAAAGCCGTAAAAAAGCATATATTTACTCATATAAGTATTATATTAATAGCCAATCTAACCATATAAGCATTAACTTTTGGAAGTCATTTAAAGTATGTCATATATAAATAAATTTTTCAGTATCCTTAGTTAATTACATGTATATGATGACCGGCAT